GCGCAATTTATTATTTTTTAATGATACAATAGGTCAACTATAAACTAGATCTACAGATAATCATCACAATATTTCCTAGGAGGAGCCTGTCTTAAAGTCTAAAGTCATATTGCGACTTAGTAAAGTATTGTATACACGTGTTTATACATTTCGTACATTTCACGGTTTCTCATTAATCTTGCAACTTAAATAAATCCTGTATGCATGCATTATATACATATGCTTATTCAAAAGCATATTGTCTGGAATTCTAGGTGTCAAACCCATATGGTATCTGCATCAATGACCAGTATTGTGTTTATACATGTTATGAATTACACTTTGTCAAAGTCAATGTATGTGTAGTTACATTTTGTATGAAATACAAGGTGTCAAAGTAAAACAGAAACAGTGAATGGGTAAGGTAGCGAAGCCTGTCTGTTTAGTCTTTGGTAAGAAAGAACATGTAACATTGCGTAAAACAATCCTGGTTCAGTCGTGCAGTAGGTTGTGTCATTTCATCATCAGTGATGTAGGACCTGCCCTTCACCATGACAGCAGCACGATAATGTCCACTTGTAGTCGTCGCCCCACAGTGCACCTGAAATGGTAATAACAAGATTTTCAGTGGTTGACCAATGGATCCGGACCTTTCCAGACCGAACACGTTGAACCCACCTGTTCTATTTTGAATACCTCGGTCAAAATCAGCGCGGGAAATCTAAGAGCAGCAAAATTAGTTGATGTCTACTTGATAAATACTCCACGTTTTACCGGTGAAATTAAATTTGTGACATCGGGGGCAATTTCAAGTTAACCAAAGACATTTTGTAATTCTTATATTTGGTAAGCCATTTGCCTCGGGAGTCTGGCAGTTCTCTTGTGGGTATGGCAACACTACATCCCAGTAAATGAGCCCAAGCCTATATGGTCTATCCAAGGAGGTTTAAAACCTCACTGGTCTATTGCATAGATATATATAGTAGGACAAACAACAATCAAATTTTTACATAAAACTTACAATAGCTGCCTTAACTTCATAGCTGTGCTGAGTGCTGTCGTGTAGTGTGATGATTATCTTCTCTCCAAGATTGAAGTGAATTGCACGGTTGTTCTTCAGGCCGATGTGTGCTGCCCATCTCTTAACTCTCATCACCAGCACCGACTTTTGCGTGTATCATTTATATGATATACACGGAGGGCAGACCATAATCGCCTTTGCGAGAAAGAGTACTCGCCAAAGGGTGAAGGGATTTTTTATCATCTCACACATGCGTAGATATGATAGTGGGGTTACTATATTGGAAGTCAGT